CTGAGAAAAATAAAACTGCTATGCTCACCGAAGACAGTGGGGTTGTGTTATTAATTTTCTTGAAAAAGTGGTATTTTACAGTAGAATTAAAAATTAATAGAAATGAAATAGAACTGAACTAGAACTGAACTAGAACTGAACTAGAACTGAACTAGAACTGAACTAGAACTGACTAGCGAACTAGAACTGAACTAGAACTGAACTAGAACTGAACTAGAACTTGAACTAGAACTGAACTAGAACTGAACTAGAACTGAACTAGAACTGAACTAGAAACTGAACAGAACTGAACTAGAACTGAACTAGAACTGAACTAGAACTGAACTAGAACTGAACTAGAACTGAACTAGAACTGAACTAGAACTGAACTAGAACTGACTAGAACTGAACTAGAACTGAACTAGAACTGAACTAGAACTGAACTAGAACTGACTAGAACTGAACTAGAACTGAACTAGAACTGAACTAGAACTGAACTAGAACTGAACTAGAACTGAACTAGAACTGAACTAGAACTGAACTAGAACTGAACTAGAACTGAACTAGAACTGAACTAGAACTGAACTAGAACTGAACTAGAACTGAAACTAGAACTGAACTAGAACTGAACTAGAACTGAACTAGAACTGAACTAGAACTGAACTAGAAATGAACTAGAACTGAACTAGAACTGAACTAGAACTGAAACTAGAACTGAACTAGAACTAAATGAACTAGAAACTGAACTAGAACTGAACTAGAACTGAACTAGAACTGAACTAGAACTGAACTAGAACTGAACTAGAACTGAACTGAACTGAACTGAACTGAACTAGAACTGAACTAGAACTGAACTAGAACTGAACTAGAACTGAACTAAAATTGAACTAGAACTGAACTAGAACTGAACTAGAACTGAATTAGAACTGAACTAGAACTGAACTAGAACTGAACTAGAACTGAACTAGAACTGAACTAGAACTGAACTAGAACTGAACTAGAACTGAACTAGAACTGAACTAGAACTGAACTAGAACTGAACTAGAACTGAACTAGAACTGAACTAGAACTGAACTAGAACTGAACTAGAACTGAACTAGAACTGAACTAGAACTGAACTAGAACTGAACTAGAACTGAACTAGAACTGAACTAGAACTGAACTAGAACTGAACTAGAACTGAACTAGAACTGAACTAGAACTGAACTAGAACTGAACTAGAACTGATGAACTAGAACTGAACTAGAACTGACTAGAACTGAACTAGAACTGAACTAGAACTGAACTAGAACTGAACTAGAACTGAACTAGAACTGAACTAGAACTGAAACTAGAACTGAACTAGAACTGAACTAGAACTGAACTAGAACTGAACTAGAACTGAACTAGAACTGAACTAGAACTGAACTAGAACTGAAACTAGAACTGAACTAGAAACTGAACTAGAACTGAACTAGAACTGAACTAGAACTGAACTAGAACTGAACTAGAACTGAACTAGAACTGAACTAGAACTGAACTAGAACTGAACTAGAACTGAACTAGAACTGAACTAGAACTGACTAGAACTGAACTAGAACTGAACTAGAACTGAACTAGAACTGAACTAGAACTGAACTAGAACTGAACTAGAACTGAACTAGAACTGAACTAGAACTGACTAGAACTGAACTAGAACTGAACTAGAACTGAACTAGAACTGAACTAGAACTGACTAGAACTGACTAGAACTGAACTAGAACTGAACTAGAACTGAACTAGAACGGAAACTAGAACTGAACTAGAACTGAACTAGAACTGAACTAGAACTGAACTAGAACTGAACTAGAACTGAACTAGAACTGAACTAGAACTGAACTAGAACTGAACTAGAACTGAACTAGAACTGAACTAGAACTGAACTAGAACTGAACTAGAAACTGAACTAGAACTGAACTAGAACTGAACTAGAACTGAACTAGAACTGAACTAGAACTGAACTAGAACTGAACTAGAACTGAACTAGAACTGAACTAGAACTGAACTAGAACTGAACTAGAACTGAACTAGAACTGAACTAGAACTGAACTAGAACTGAACTAGAACTGAACTAGAACTGAACTAGAACTGAACTAGAACTGAACTAGAACTGAACTAGAACTGAACTAGAACTGAACTAGAACTGAACTAGAACTGAACTAGATGAACTGAACTAGAACTGAACTAGAACTGAACTAGAACTGAACTAGAACTGAACTAGAACTGAACTAGAACTGAACTAGAACTGAACTAGAACTGAACTAGAACTGAACTAGAACTGAACTAGAACTGAACTAGAACTGAACTAGAACTGAACTAGAACTGAACTAGAACTGAACTAGAACTGAACTAGAACTGAACTAGAACTGAACTAGAACTGAACTAGAACTGAACTAGAACTGAACTAGAACTGAACTAGAACTGAACTAGAACTGAACTAGAACTGAACTAGAACTGAACGAACTGAACTAGAACTGAACTAGAACTGAACTAGAACTGAACTAGAACTGAACTAGAACTGAACTAGAACTGAACTAGAACTGAACTAGAACTGAACTAGAACTGAACTAGAACTGAACTAGAACTGAACTAGAACTGAACTAGAACTGAACTAGAGAACTGAACTAGAACTGAACTAGAACTAGAACTGAACCAGAACTGAACTAGAACTAAACTAGAATTTAACTAGAACTGAATTTTCGACCAAATTTCAAATTTAAAATCTTCTGAATGTCTGATCAGAATTGTTTCTAGATACTTTTTACCGCCGATTAAAAGTGATTAAGCCTTAGTTGGTAATATTGTACTTCTATTTTATTTATTTTTATTGGCAACATATTTTATAAATAATATTTTTATATACATATTTATAAATTAGTTTGCAGTTTTTAAGTGGTTCTCTACAAGTTGTAGTGGAGTTAGTAATAAATAGAATAAGTTATAAGTGTTGTGCCATAACCCAGCAGTTTTGGGTGATTAACGCAAACTAAAGAATTTATCTAACATTTGAGACAACTCAGTCGTAAACCATTTAAGGAAATAACTATTTCTTTTAATTGAATATACTTTAGTTTACTAAGAGACAATAAAGTGGCGTTTGATGTCATACTAATAAAAGTAAGCCATAGATTTATCTTAGTGTTCTAATAATTGCAGGGTAGTTTAAATTTTCTATGTATAGTATGTTTCATTCTGCTAAAAGTACTTATCATTAATAATCTCATCTGCCTAATGATTATGATGATCATCAGCATAATGATGATGTTGTAGTAGTAGAAGTGGCCATTTAGTATTTTTAAATTAAAATATTTTTAGTTTTTTTTTTTTTTTTTTTGTTTCTTTCGAAAGACACAGCAGGTTCAACTTACTGTGGTTTGTTAACAAAACTTAAAAGCAATTAATTATATTTGTAATCATGCTTTGTAGAAAACACGTTTTTATTTAAATATATTTATTATTTAAATGGCTATATGGTTATACATAATTGAAAAATAAACAATATTTTATTTAGCAAAAATGTTTGAATTTTTGCATAAAATTTAAAAATTTTCTTTTTTAGATGTGAACACATTATTGTTAAAGAACTCTAGACATTTTGGGTGACAAAAGCCACCAGAAACCATAAAATTAATTAAAAATATGTGTTTGTACTTACATAAAAATCTCTCATAATTAAATGTCAAAATGTTGAATGTTCTGCAAATATAAAGAAATATAAAAATATAAATTAATTTATTTTAAAGGAATATGTTTTCTTTTGAGTGCCATTATACTGGGTGACAAATTATTCTCTTATGTACCCGAAATTAAATTTTTATAAAAATATCAAAAAATAATAAAAAAATGAATATTTAAAATATTTTAAAATTATAATTTTATTGATAAAAAAATTTATATAATTTCTAAATGCTTGGCATAAATAAAAATCAAAATGTCCTTTCAACACAATAAATAAATAAAGTTAAATGTTTGATATACATTTATTTTCAATATTTGTTATAGGCATACATACATATATTTCTGTCTATATAATCTATTTGTGGTTCATATAGATTTTTCCAATAATTAAAATACATATACTTATGTACATACCTACATATGTACATACATTTTAAATGTATTTAGAATATTAGATACGCAAATATTTTTATATGTTTTTGTCAGGGTATTTTAACGAGTATAAAGCAATGTTAACAATAATATAAAATAAATACGAAAAATTATTGACCGATTATATTGATCGTATAATGACCCTATATTTTCTATATAAATAATAACAATTGGAATGTAGCTCCTAACGAAAGCTTTTATAGCTTTAGCCATTAACTTTTTGGAACGCCTTGACAAAATTACAACACAAACTATGGACACTACTATGGTCTAGACTGTAAGCCGGAATATAAATTAGACTATAGTCCAGACTATATATAAGACTATAGTACAGTCTATAAACTAGACTATTGCTCAGACTATAGACCAAGTTATAGTCGAGGCTATAGACAGTACTATAGTCCAGACTATTGACAAGACTGTAATCCAGACTATAGACTGAAATATAGTTCAGACTATAGACTAAAATATAGTCCACACTATAGTCTATATTATAGAACAGACTGTAGTCTATACTATAGTCCAGACTATCGACTTGATTATAGTCCAGACTATAGACAAGACTATAGTCCAGTGAAGACTATAGACTAAACTATAGTCCACACTTTAGCCTAGACTATAGACTACTCTATAGTCCAGACTATAGACTACAATATTTCAGAATATAGACTACACTATAGTTCAGTATATAGACTAGATTATAGAATAGACTGTAGTCCAGACTACAGACTAGACTATAGTCCAGCCAACAGACCAGACTACAGACTAGACTATAGTCCAGACTACAGATCAGACTATAGACTAGACTATAGTCCAGACTTTAGACCAGACTATAGTTCAGAATATAGACCAGACTTTAGTTCAGAATATAGACCAGACTATAGTTGAGAATATAGACTATACTATAGTCCACGCTATAGAATAGACTATAGTCCAGGCTATAGACTAGACTTTAGTCCAGACCATAGATTAGACTATAGTCCAGATAATAGACTAGACTATAGTCCAGAGTATAGACTAGACTATAGTCCAGGCTATATACTAGACTTTAATCCAAACTATAGACTAGACTATAGTAAAGGCTATCGACTAGACTATAGTTTAGACCATAGATTAGATTATAGTCTAGACTATAGACTAGACTATAGTTCAGACTATAGACTAGACTATGGTCCAGACTATAGACTAGACTATAGTCAAGACTATAGACTAGACTAAAGTACAGACTATAGTCCAGACTATAGACTAGACTATAGACTAAATTATAGTCAGACTATGGACTAGATTATAGTCCAGAATATAGACTAGACTATAGTCCAGACTGTAGACTGGACTATGCTCCAAACTACAGACTAGACCATAGACCAGACCATAGACCAGACCATAGACCAGACCATAGACCAGACCATAGACCAGACCATAGACCAGACCACAGACCAGACCATAGACCGGACCATAGACCAGACCAGACCACACCATAGACCAGACTATAATATAGTCCAGACTGTAGTCTAGACTATAATCCAGACTGCAGTATTTGTTATAAACTAGACTGCAATACAGGTTCGATTCAGTTAATAACAGATAGATAGTAGATTCATTTAAAAACTGTAGTCCAGACAATAGTCCAAACAGTAGTCCAGGCTGTAGTTCAGACTATAGTCCAGACTATAGTGCAGACTGTAGTACTGGTTGTACACAAAATTGCAGTACAAGTTCGATTCAGTTACTAACACAAATGGTAGATTCATTTAATAGATGTAGGGTACTAATTAATATTTGTCTGTATAAAAAATAAATATTTATGTACGAATGGAGACGATAAAAATCTGAGTATAAAACAAATTAAAAATTTGAAAATTTTAAATTATTTTAATCGCAGATTTGATTTTTTAAATAGATATTTTTTAAAAAGTTTACATAATATTTAGTTGTTTTGAATGTCCTTGTCGGAAATTAACAATAATTTTGGGCTAATTTTTAACTGTTATGTCTATTATGGATTTATATAGAGGTTTTAACCGATACTGGACCAATAATAATAAAATTTTGAAATAATTAATAAGTTGTCTTTTAGTACATCGCCTAGCTATATATGACAAGTTCTCTTCATATAAATTGATGGAATTAGTAATGAGCACTCTACTAGGAAAACAATACAATCATTCTTTGAGAACATGTCACTATATTTTCTGTCGAATTTGCAACATTTTGCATTTTAACCTTTAATTAATATGTTAACATGATACCGATAACCATCCACCTTACATATTGTTTTACTAACTAACGCTCACCCCTTTTCCCATCGCAATTTTTAAATACCGTAAAGTTATATCCTATAATTTTCAATTTGTATGAATGTATACGATTAGATTTAGTAACAAATTTGAACAGATATCAATTACACTATACATAGAACATAAAACGGTATACAACTATTGATATGTTCTTTTCGTTCTGCAACCATATATAATTGAATTATTTTGGCAAATGAAGCCATGTCATATAATTTGTTTAAGTCATAGAGAAATCGGAAAAAATTTCAATTTTATCTATATGCATGTTGAAATATTACATTTTAAAATTCATACACTTTCTTTACATTTGTTCCCCGTCATTCAAACATATTAAAATACATATACCAATTGATCATATGTTTAAGACATGCCTAAAATTAAAGCAAAATAATGGCAAATATTAACTGAATCTATTAACTAAGTTGCAAATCGAAAGTGTATTTTTTCAATAATCAATGCATTTATCATGCTTGATAATTTGGCCAACTGGGTTATAATTGTATATGCAAATGCAATGAGTCTAGTTGAAACTCATTGTATCACATTCCCCTAAAAAGGGGCAAAAGAATTATTTCATGTTAAATGGAGTTAAATTTCTGTCATGTATGTATTTATGTATGTATTTATTTGAATTTTTTGACACTTTATAAATTTATTCATATACATATTGAACCATAATGAAAAAGGTAGTTTATTTCATTGAAAAGAAAATTAAAATTTTTAAACATTTTTCGGTTTAGGTTTTTTGTCATTTTTAATGCTGTCGTTACTTTTTTCATGTACAGCATCTGTTTGAGAAACTTACCAATTTACATGTCAAATACACATTGCAAGCAATCAGTTCATTATTTAAATGTTCTACATAAAAGATGTTTATTAGGGTGGTACTAAGTATTTGTTTTAGACTAAAGTGGAAGTCATAATCCTATAAGATTATAACTCAGAGTTAGTTGCATTGTTCAGACTGTTGACTACTGAGTAGACTATAGCCCATACTACACTATAGTCCAGACTATAGTATAAACTGTAGACTAGATTATAGACTAGACTATAGACTAGACTATAGACTAGACTATAGACTAGACTATAGACTACACTATAGACTAGACTATAGACTAGACTATAGACTAGACTATATACTAGACTATAGACTAGACTATAGACTAGACTATAGACTAGACTATAGACTAGACTATAGACTAGACTATAGACTAGACTATAGACTAGACTATAGACTAGACTATAGACTAGACTATAGACTAGACTATAGACTAGACTATAGACTAGACTATAGACTAGACTATAGACTAGACTATAGACTAGACTATAGACTAGACTATAGACTAGACTATAGACTAGACTATAGACTAGACTATAGACTAGACTAGACTATAGACTAGACTATAGACTAGACTATAGACTAGACTATAGATTAGACTATACACTAGACTATAGACTAGACTATAGACTAGACTATAGACTAGACTGTAGACTAGACTGTAGACTAGACTATAGACTAGACTATAGACTAGAATAGACTAGACTATAGACTAGACTATAGACTAGACTATAGACTAGACTATAGACTAGACTATAGACTAGACTATAGACTAGACTATAGACTAGATATAGACTAGACTATAGACTAGACTATAGACTAGACTATAGACTAGACTATAGACTAGACTATAGACTAGACTATAGACTAGACTATAGACTAGACTATAGACTAGACTATAGACTAGACTATAGACTAGACTATAGACTAGACTATAGACTAGACTATAGACTAGACTATTGACTAGACTATAGACTAGACTATAGACTAGACTATAGACTAGACTATAGACTAGACTATAGATTAGACTATAGACTAGACTATAGACTAGACTATAGACTAGACTGTAGACTAGACTATAGACTAGACTATAGACTAGACTATAGACTAGACTATAGACTAGACTATAGACTAGACTATAGACTAGACTATAGACTAGACTATAGACTAGACTATAGACTAGACTATAGACTAGACTATAGACTAGACTGTAGACTAGACTGTAGACTAGACTATAGACTAGACTATAGACTAGACTATAGACTAGACTATAGACTAGACTATAGACTAGACTATAGACTAGACTATAGACTAGACTATAGACTAGACTATAGACTAGACTATAGACTAGACTATAGACTAGACTATAGACTAGACTATAGACTAGACTATAGACTAGACTATAGACTAGACTATAGACTAGACTATAGACTAGACTATAGACTAGACTA